GTGCCAAGTCTAATGTCCTATTTTTCATAATTGCACCACAGTAGATGTTAACATTAGGGGAAGCTGGGTACAATAGATATGAGAGTTTTCTGTTCCAGTTTTTAAGTCTAAAATTATTTCAAAATTAAAAAAAGTTTTTTTAATTACTGACGCCTAGGTGCTGCCCTGTTAATTAAGGGGAACTTGTATTTTGAACTATTGTTTAATGACAAGTATACTTTTCGCATTTCCTAATTTAACCCCCACAGCCCTGTGTGAGGTGAGTACTGAAGCCTGTCTTCGCACTAGGGAAAACAGAAGTTCAGAGATGTTAAGAGAGCTCCACAATTAGTAAGAGAACGATGAGGATTCACCTGCAACCAGCCAGGTGCCAAAGCCAGGCTCTCCCCACTTCCTTACAGGAAGAGAAGTTGCAGAAGAAAACTAGGGGCAAAACATTGAGAAGCGAGGGCGTGGAGTCCCACGGTGAGGCATTTGGACTTGATCCTGGAGTCCAGTGGTTCTCAGTCCTGGCTGCACTTTATTATCCACCCAAAGAGCTTTAAAAATTATTATTGCCTGCGTCCTACCCTAGAATGTCTGATTCAGCTGGGTTTTTACGAAGCTCTCCGGGTGATTCTGCCGTGTGGCCAGGGTGAGGGCTCTCTGTCTAAGAGGAGCAGTGGGATCGTTTCTGAGAGTAGACGCTGGCCACTGTCCACCCACGTCTGAGCCCTTGAGTACGACCTGCCTGGCATAGGGCAGTGGGCAGGGGAGGTACTGTAATAGGGAAGAACGAATCTGACTCCATGTTAGATCTGTTCCTTTGGCTCTAACCCTGGGCTCTGTTTCCTGAGCTGTCATGCGGGTTCTGCACCTTTTGTAAAAGAAAGTTGCCGATATAGCCTGAAGTATACAGGACAGCCCATTCTCAAGGCTCTGACCTTTAAGGGTATAACACTTTCCTGCATTGAATGACAACAGGTAAATGGTCATTAACCTTGAATTATCTAAAGTATGTAAAGAACTACCTCAAACACTCCGCAGCAGGGTCCCGTCCCTAAAGAGTTTTGGCTTCATGTTGAAAAGACAAATTCCAGGAAAACATCAGAATCAATAAGTTAATGAAGAGTCCTTTCGAAATTATACAGACAGCCTGATTTCAGCTGTTAAAGGTATGCATAGAAAAAAGAATGGGGGAAATATATCCAAATATATTTGGATAATTATGGGTGGTTATCATCTAAAGCAAATGCTGTCAGCCTTACGAGCTTGTGCATGTGAATGGAGCTGTGAACACAAAGTCAAAAAGCCTGGATTTTACTGACAATTCATAGGGATTCCTGGCCCCTTGCCAAAGATTTCCTGGCCTCGGTGCCTCTGAGAGGGCTCACAGAGGTGTTATCCATTTCTCCCAAAGCAGGCTGCAGGCTCTTGTCACCTGCAATGTCCCCTCTGTTTCCAGTCCCCTCGCCTGGGTTTACCATTGCACAGCTGCGTGGGGAGCCAGCGACCTCACCAACGCTGTTCTTTCCAGAAGCGGCTGCCAGCGTGACTCAGGGATGCTCAGGGGGCCCAGCAGGAGCTGGTGCAGGAGCAGCCCCTTCCCCAAGCCTTCCTGCTTCCAGCCCCTGGGCACCGCCCTCCAAAATGTCTCAGAACATCAGCAGCGCCTGGCTTGCAGCCTCATCACCACAGTGCACGCCTGGCTCAGGAGGCCTTTGTACCCACGCTAAATCTTGCACCAAGAAGCTCCCAAACATGGCCATTGTACTAATGACATTTTATTTTTAAAAAGAAAAATAATTTTCAGATATATACCTCATCCACATTTTGATATTTTCTCTCTAGAAACTTGAATTCCAAAAAATGGCTGGGACAGAAATAGACACAAAGGACCACGGTGACTTGCAGAAAGCACGTGACAGAGACCGACCTACTGGCGATGTTTATTCTAGAATCAGGTATGAGTTGAGAGCTTTGCTCCGCAGGTTCCTCATCTCCTCAAGCACCTTTTCTCTCGCCTTCTCCAATGGCTGGTCTTGGTCTTTCGCTTCTCTAAATATCAAAAAACAAAACAAAACAAAACAAAAATCCCAACAAGGACACATCAGGGCATGTCATAAAACACTCAAGTCACCCATCAAGACCCGGCTGCCGAGCGCAGCACTGCCAGGGAGGCCGCGTGAAGGCTGGAGGAGTTGTTCATATACATACATAGTTTAAACTATATTAAGTAATAATTTAGTTACCAGTGAAAGTACCTGGCTGCCAAGTTATTCAAACCTGGTTTCCAATCCCAGCTGCACCCGTTTCCTAGCCAGGCCAAGTTACCCAAACTTTCAATCTCTGTTTCCAGATGTACCAATGGTGACAATTTCCCATATCCCTGCTGCGGAGGTGGAATGAGAACTTATTTGTAGACATCTGAGCATGGTATCTTCTAAACACACAGTCAGCATTAGTGGATAGTTCATGTTTATGGACAAAGTAGACACATAATATCTCTGATTCTGATAATGTCTCCAGAAGGGCGGGGATCAAAAGGGAGGACCTCTTGCACCTGGGCTGTGGAGTGGCTGATGGGGAGCCCAGAATGTTGCTGGTGTGGCAAGGGGTAGAGCTTTCCAAGTATCTGGGAGGACGTGATGAGTGTATTTGGTTGAAAGCATAGATGTCCAAAGATTGTGAGCTCAGCGATACAACCTGCCTGGATAGAAGAATTCCATATAAAATTAAGTGCTTCTGAAACATTTCCTAAAGAGGCTGAAAGGCTGAAAGATAAAGTTTTAGCAAACATCTGAAAGGTTTGAAAAAGTGGAAGTATCTAAAAATGAAGAATTAAAATGTTCCCTAATGCATATAATTTAAAAAAAAGACTAATTGGCACCACTTTATAGAATCAGTCTAAAAATATATAGATCAGGTCAGCCCTTTAAGATATTAGTGATTGAATGATATGAGGATAATCTAAGGAGAGCTGAATGATGTGTCAACAGTTTCTTGGACACTTTGCTACACGATTACCCTTCCTGGGTCTTGAGAGGGTGAGATACCATAAAGGCAACAAAGAATTTTGGGTTAATTACAGTCATTGAGGGAGAGCGGATGAGGCTTGGCATCCAAGGAAATAAATATTTGCCAGAAACCAAAACGACAGCAGTCTTCACAGAGACATTAAATACTACTGATGTGTTCCTATTTTTCTGTCCCTGTCTGTCCAGGCTCAGGTTGTGTGTGTGTGTCTGACAGTGAGGACTCTTGTCAGTTTCTGGCTGAGGCTGCGGGAGGTGAGGAAAAGGGACAAATAAGGACAGAGAAGACAAAAAACTGAGCATCGGGTGATGCTTGGTATATGAGCTGAAGAGAATTTCAGAACCAGATAGCTTTTAAAAACCATCTGGAATACTATGCAGCCAATAAAACGACCATCATGTTGACAACTTTGACATGTGAAAAAATATACAAAAAAAATTTGCACCACAAAATGGGGGAATTCAAAATGACATGGATATATTTATTGAAAAATGTGTGAAATGGATGTGTATTTTGAGAGCAACTGGAAGTTAAGTTGGTGTGCAGAAAATGTTTAGAGTTCATTGTTGGTTTTTTGTTTGTTTGGTAAAGTAGTTGAAATACATAAAAAAAATATATGGATGAATATATAAAGCAATAAGTTGTATTTCCATTAATAATAATTTGATAACCAGGTGGCATTTGACATTAGCTCTGTAGGAAAAATGGTGGAAAACCATTAAATAGGTAATAGTAAACTATTAGTAAATAGTTAAATAGTAAGTAAGCAAAGAGGTATTGGATATTACCATTCAAAGTCTAGGGGTAATTTTTGAAATTGAAAAAAAAAAGGTTTGTATTTAAAACTCTTAGTCAATTGTTTGAAACCTGAAACAAAATGCAAAGTGCATCTATTTCTTGAGGTGTAAGAGGTTCTATGTACTATGTAGTGTAACGTGGTACTTTACTATTAATTAGCTGATCAAAACAGTGGTTGAAATTCTATTTAAAATTTTTATTTGCTAAAGTTTCTTTTAGCAGAAACTGCCAATCTACTTTCTGAGAAGTGCTGGTTTGCTTTAGGCCCCTGCTACTACCACTATTAAGCTGAAGGAACCCACACTAGGCTAAGACATGAGGGCATTCCTTCCAGAAAAGGCAGGGCCTCCCCCAAACACTGCAAACAAAGGAAGAAGACACCTGAGAAATTTACAAGGAAGGGTAATTATCCTTAATCTGTAAGGGACTCTTACAGATAAATAAGAAAAAGATAAACACTTTGTACAATATAGGTAAAACAGTCCCCTCATAAAAGAAGAAAAAGAGTAGATAAACTTAGGAGAATTCTTACTATCACTTGTAAACAAAGAAGTTAAAATTAAAACAATGATATGGTCATTTAAAAATCTATCATTGCTGGTAAAGAAGGAAAAAAAAATGATAGTATTCCATGTTGTTCAGGGCATTTGAATGTGGGCATCCTGACCTCTGCTGGTAGGAGGCGTGTGGATATACTTTCTGGATGGCTATCAAGCACTACATATTAAGACCGTAAAAGGAACACTGATCTAGCATTTATGTTTCTAGGAATTGATCCTAAGGAAACAGTCTGATAAGTTTGCAAGGAATTATGGCACAAGGATGTTTACGGCGGCGCTATTGGCAACAGCAAAACACTGAAAAGAGTTTACATGGTTGTCAGTAGAGGACTGGTTAAACAAATTATGGTACACCTAGTGGTGAAATATGAAGATGATGTTGA